ATTTTGGTTGTGCAAAATGTTATATACATATACATTTATATATATATATATATATATGTATATATATAAATTCTTGTTTATTTACAATTTGTTGCAAACGTAAATCCCAAAACCAGTTTTAAGTGTACTAAGTATTTTATAATTATATATTATAAAGTAATTATGCAATTAAATCGCATATATAAATACTGGAAAAAAACATTTTACTATCAATAGTGTAAACAAGATATATATGTATATATATATATATATATATATATATATATATATGTATGTATGTATGTATGTATATAAATATTTTGTGTTTATGTATTTCAAAATGACATTTTTTAGGATTCAAAATAAGATTTTAGCAATTTATTTTAATACTGTTTTTATTATCAAATTGTTAATTTTTATTTAAATATTTATTTTAGCATGGACATAAAATATATTTAATGTATTAAAAATACTCTTCAAAATTCTGTATAAATATCAAAATTTTATTATTAATGAAAAATCTATACTTTATATTATAAATTAATTTTATTGGATTGTACTTCTGACTTGAGCAAAACTAAATATTTAAATATTCTAAGAACATTTTGTCAAAAATTTTGCAAAATTGCATTTTTCCAGACACCACATGTTTATATTATTATTATAAACAGATACACGTCTTAGTTCTTTATTATCAAATATAAATAATATATATAAATTACCTCGAAATCTTCAACTTTATGTTTAATCAAAACGCTAAGAGATGGCAACGCGTTTTAATATAGTTAGAAACAATAAATTTGTTCATTTTATAAACAAGTAACAAATATTGTTAAATAAAAATAAATTTACGTAAATATTGCCTACTTTTACTCTGAAGTTTTATATACTATTTTTGGACTTTATCAAACCACAAGAAACAATTTTTTGTAAGGATATTTTGCCTAAAATATCATTGTGTATTCATTTTAAGGATATTGTGCTTAAAAGCTCCCAAATTGATGACTATTTTTTTAATTTTTATAAAGCACAAACGCTATTTTTTGCACTCCATCAAACCATTATTAGCAATTTTGATCTTTAACATTTTTTGTAAGGATCATGTGCTTGAAAGCTCACAAAATAATGACTATTTTTTTAAATATTTTTTTTAATTGAATATTACTTTAACTAAAAAGCACAAACATTATTTTTTGGATCTGTCAAACCATTAAGAGCATTTTTGATCCTTAACATTGTTTTGCAAGGATCTTGTGCTTGAAAGCTTTCAAAATAATGACTATTTTTTTAAATATTTTTTTTTTATTGTGTTGTAGGTTAATCGTAATATATTGTGACTAAACAATTTTGATTATTAACATTTTTTGTGAGGATCTTGGGCTTAAAAGCCCCAAAAACTACTTTATATATTGTAGGTTAATTAAAATATATTGTGACTTATGACAGTATTCGAAATACTTTATTAATTGAGATATTTGGATGATTTTGATCATTAACATTTTCTTTTGTAGGGATCTTAAGCTTAAAAGCTCATAAAATACAATCTTCGTGATATTCAAGACCAAGATTTTTTTCAGAACATTTCCAAAAGTTATTGTAAACCAAAACTTTATTTTGAAGATAAAATTATTAAAATAACTTTTTTCATATCAATATTCATACATAACATCTGTAAAACTGTTCTTTCAACATAAATGTTTCATATTGGCTTTATTATATATTTAAAAAAATTTGCCTAGAAACATACATAAGTTTATACATAAATATATAAACAATTAAAAATATACTTTTAAACAGGCGTACATCCAGATAATAGAAATAGAAAGAAATTAATTTGTTTTCAGATTTTTTTTAATAGACTTTCAATTAAAGGAAAAAATCGAATAATTGCCGGAATAACCCTATAAACAGTCTTTTTCTTTTTTTCCTAGACTGTATTGTAAAAAAACATAATAATTTTTAACTAACTGCTGAATATCAGTATAGGTTATTAAAAAAAATGGAACATTTGAATTGTAAACATATGTACAAAACATCGTCTGTCGGGTCATCTAGTATTATATATATATAATATAATATATATATATATATATATACATATATATATTATATATATATATATAAATATATATATATATATATATATATATATATATATATATATATATTATTGAAATATATGTTATTAAAATATAAACAACAGTTTTAGTTTTATATTAAATTTTATTTAACATTTCAGTATCCAACTCCATTGGATAAAAATATATGTAATTTTATTTATAACTAAATTTATATTTGTGTATATAATTACATATATCTATATATGATTTAGTGATGTATTTGTAAATAGTTTAAACCATTTTTACTACAAAATAATTTACAACAAATAATTTTGTATGAATAATTATATAAAAAAAATATGTACAATGAAATAGTAACAAAAATATAAGTTTTGTTCTAATTATTTTTAACAAAAGTTATAGAAAGTGACATTCAGTTTTACATTATTTAGTTTGAGTATCTGTTTTTAATATAAAAATAGATATATGAAAAGAAAGAAATCTAGATTGATTTTTTTATAAAATTTGTACAAATTTATCCTTATTATCAATTATTTAATTTGTTTACAAAATTGTTTTCTTATTTTTTAGCGTATAAAAACTAAATTCTTGTGAAAATCTTAACAAAATATTTAAAAATGTATACAAAAATTCTGCCAGAAGTTTCATTTTTTGTCTATCTTATTCTAAATCAAATAAATTTTGTTTTTTTTTTAAATTTAAGATTAAATATAAATTTGTTTTGTATAAATAAAACAAATAAAATTGCAGAATAAAATGTAGATAATATTTTTTCTTGTATCACTGAAAGAATGTCTCACTAAATTCTGGAAAAATTTTCCTTAAATAAAATTTGATCAATATTTTTATTTTGGGTTTTGTGGGATGTCCTATAAAAATTCTAAGAATTTTTCTTTGATTTTCTCAAAACTCATTAATCAAATATTTATTATTACTAATAATTTATTATAGATAACAATATTTTTTAGAAAAAAATTAGGTTTATAGTCCACAATAAATAATACTTTAATTATTTCAGGACTTGTAAAAATAATCTTGAACCTTTTTTGTGTAAGAAACTTCAAATTGAATGTACTTGGTAGGATCTAATAGGTCGTCCCACAAAAATCTTGCAAATCTAAACAAAAAACAAACAATGCCTCCAAAATACAAATACACTTTCCACAATATCACCATTAATCTTTTCCATCAATTTTTCTATATCTTTTATTCCTCAAAATTCGTCCTAGTAGGTTTATAAACCCGAACATCCTGGTGGTCCCACGAAAATTTCACAAAATTTTTCTTTGATTTTCTCAAAACTCGTTAAACAATAATTTTTTACAATAAAATTTTGACAGTTGTTTTCTAGGATGTCCCACAAAATATTAAATAAGACTTTAGGGATTTGTTAAAATAATCAAAAACAATTTTTGTGTATTAAATTTTGTAAATAATAATAGGTTGCCCCACAAAAATCTTGCAAACCTAAACTAAAAACAAACAATGCCTCGAAAATACAATTACACTTCCCATAATATCACGATTAATCGCCTCTATAATTTCCCTGTATTATTATTCCTCAAAATTCGTCCCTAGTAGGTTTATAAACCCGAACATCCTGGTGGTCCCACGAAAATTTCACAAAATTTTTCTTTGATTTTCTCAAAACTCGTTAAACAATAATTTTTTACAATAAAATTTTGACAGTTGTTTTCTAGGATGTTCCACAAAATATTAAATAAGACTTTAGGGATTTGTTAAAATAATCAAAAACAATTTTTGTGTATTAAATTTTGTAAATAATAATAGGTTGCCCCACAAAAATCTTGCAAACCTAAACTAAAAACAAACAATGCCTCGAAAATACAATTACACTTCCCATAATATCACGATTAATCGCCTCTATAATTTCCCTGTATTATTTATTCCTCAAAATTCGTCCTAGTAGGTTTATAAACCCCAACATCCTGGTGGTCCCACGAAAATTTCACAAAATTTTTCTTTGATTTTCTCAAAACTCGTTAAACAATAATTTTTTACAATAAAATTTTGACAATTGTTTTCTAGGATGTCCTACAAAATATTAAATAAGACTTTAGGGATTTGTTAAAATAATCAAAAACAATTTTTGTGTATTAAATTTTGTAAATAATAATAGGTTGCCCCACAAAAATCTTGCAAACCTAAACTAAAAACAAACAATGCCTCGAAAATACAATTACACTTCCCATAATATCACGATTAATCGCCTCTATAATTTCCCTGTATTATTTATTCCTCAAAATTCGTCCTAGTAGGTTTATAAACCCCAACATCCTGGTGGTCCCACGAAAATTTCACAAAATTTTTCTTTGATTTTCTCAAAACTCGTTAAACAATAATTTTTTACAATAAAATTTTGACAATTGTTTTCTAGGATGTCCTACAAAATATTAAATAAGCTTAGGGATTTGTTAAAATAATCAAAAACAATTTTTGTGTATTAAATTTTGTAAATAATAATAGGTTGCCCCACAAAAATCTTGCAAACCTAAACTAAAAACAAACAATGCCTCGAAAATACAATTACACTTCCCATAATATCACGATTAATCGCCTCTATAATTTCCCTGTATTATTTATTCCTCAAAATTCGTCCTAGTCGGTTTATAAACCCCAACATCCTGGTGGTCCCACGAAAATTTCACAAAATTTTTCTTTGATTTTCTCAAAACTCGTTAAACAATAATTTTTTACAACAAAATTTTGACAATTGTTTTCTAGGATGTCCTACAAAATATTAAATAAGACTTTAGGGATTTGTTAAAATAATCAAAAACAATTTTTGTGTATTAAATTTTGTGAATAATAATAGGTTATCGCACAAAAATCTTGCAAACCTAAACAAAAAACAAACAATGCCTCCAAAATACAAATACACACCACCATTCAACACCTCCAACAATTTTTTTATATCATTTATTCCTCAAAATTTGTCCTAGTAGGTTTATAAACCCCAACATCCTTGTCCTCCGAACGGTAGCCCAAGGAGGCTAATTCGTCCATAACCTCAACATTGTACTTCAAACTGTCAAACCACATATAATAAGGGCACTCTTCTCTCGAACCTCCATAAACCTCCGGCAAATATTTAGGATCTATGTGCTGATGGAGGCTTTCCATATCAGCACCATGAAAAAAAATCCTGTCCCGCATTCTGGCGTCTAAAAGCGGCCTGAAGATCGCAAAAATAACCTCAAAAACCCACGATTGATTCAGGATGTGAATTGCATAAGTCTTCATGGGAAAACTTGTCTAAACATGAAAAAACATTTATAATTTTTGCCAGAATTTTCTACAAATACCACAATTGTCTTTTATCTTACCACCATGAGTTCGACAACTTTCCTGGCAACAGATGGCGTTACGTGCCAGGCGTGTTGCATAGTGATGTCCGCCAGGTCGAAAATGCAAACGCCTCCCAAAATTTGAGCCCTTTGCTCCAAAACGCCTAACTCCAAAATCACCAGAGTCGCCTTGAATAATTCCTCGATGCCGAATTTACTTGGATCCCAATTACCTGAAAAAAATTTTTCGTTTAATTTTTTTGGTGGTATTTTGTGGTATTAGGTGGTATTTGGTGGTATTGGTGTTTTTTTGGTGGTATTAGATGGTTTGTGGTGGCACTAGATGGTTTTTGGTGATTTTTATTAGGTGGTATCAGGTGGTATCTGGAGGTATTTGGTGGTATTAGATTGTATTAGAATGTTCTGGGTACTACTAGATGATTTTTGGTGGTATTAGATGGCTTTTGGCGGTACTAGATGGTTTTCAGTGGTATTTATTATGTGGTATCAGGTGGTATTTGGCAGTAAATGGTGGTATTTGGTAGTAGTTGGAGGTATTAGGTAACATTAGATTGTATCTAATGATAGTAGATAGTTTTTGGTGGTTCTAGATAGTTTTTAGTGGTAATTATTATGTGGTATCAGATGGTATTTGGTAGTATTTATTGGTATTTATAGGTATTTGGTGGTATTTTTTGGCACAAGATGGTTTTTAGTGGTATTAGGTGGTTTTTGGTAGTACTAGATAATTTTTAGTGGTACTATATGGCTTTTAGTAGTATTTATTATGTGGTATTAGATGGTATGTGGTGGTATTCGGTGATATCGGGTGGTAGTTGGAGGTATTTGGTAATATTAGGTGTATCAGGTGGTATTGTATGGTTTTTGGTGGTACTATATGGCTTTTAGTAGCATTTATTATGTGGTATTAGGTGATATTTAGTGGTATTTAGCGATATTTAGCGGTAATAGGTAGTAATTCGTGATATTTTGTGGTATTAGGTAGTATAAAATAGTTTTTGGTGGTGCTAGATAATTTTCAGTGTTACTTATTATGTGGTATTAGGTGGTATTTAGTAGTATTAGATGGTATCAGGTGATCTTAGGTGGTATTTGGTAGTATAGGGTCCGCCAAATAACTTTATTTTTTACAAACTATTGAATATTTTCTCAAATTTCTTTTTTTATTTGAAAGTACAATCCTTTCAGTTAATAATGCAATTAATTCAGTTAATAATGATTATAATAATTTCATTCAAAAATGAGGAAAAAAAGCCTCGGCTGATCGTTGAAATAAAAATGAAAATGAAAAATGTTACATGGCATACCCTATATTAGGTGGTATCAATTATTATTTTACCGATTCTATAAAGCAATATCCGACGTCCTGTCTGTTCTCTATATGGCAAAACAGTCATAATGTCATCTTCGCCAATGTGTCGGAGATCTAAGGGGTTGACGTCTTCGTGATATTCGGGATTATCTTCTTTGAAATTATAGTATTTTACCATCTGAAAATACAGAAATATTTAGAAATCAGTTGTTTATAGGATATAATTTGAAATTTTGAAAAATTCTGACTAGTACGGGAGTTATCGCAATTTTGTGAAGAAGTGTCCTGGGTGGATGAAAATCTCGTCTTGGTTTTGTAGAAGTTCAAGATTTTTTTTAAAAATATTTGGGATTTTATATTAAAAATTTTGTGTTTTCTATTTTGTTAACCAAATATTTAAGTAGGTTTTGTTGAATTTGGATTTTAAATAGTTTGTTTATTTTTATAGTTATAAGTAATTTTGTCACATGGTATCCAAGAGTACTAAAAATATTGTCAAGGGTTTGCACGAGTTTAATATTTTTTATAAAATATTTTAGAAATCAATTTTATAATTTTGTGTACGAAACTTTATTAAAAATATACATAAGTATGATTTGATAACATTAGACTGCAATTAATTTGCTTGCTATCATAGTTATAAATAATTTTGTTACATATCCAAGACAAAATGTGTAAAAATGTTCAGGTTTTGCACGAGATAAATAATTTTTTAAAAATATTTTAAGTTTTTTGATAAAATTTTAATGTACGATATTTTATTAACAATTCATCTAAGTATCGTTTTTATAAATAAATTTATATTAGCTTGTTCGTTTTATTAATTATAAACAATTTCACTAACAGGCATACTAATAATTTCCTTCAGCTTTTACACGAGTCAAAAAATTTTTATAAAATATTTTATAATTAAAATTAAAATTTCTTATGTACACCCAATTATTAACTTAAACTTAAATACAAATATTGTTTTTCGATTCTAACTTGAACAATTTAGTCTTTTTAGTAAATTGTAAACAATTTCTTGAAAAAGTAGTCGATATTTTTATGTCTTGTACAAATCAATCAATTTGGTAAAAATATTTAAAATTTTAATTTTAAATTGGATTGTATGACATTTTATTAACAATTTAGTGCAAAATCATTAATTTTAATAAAATATTACAAATTTTAAATAAAAAAACTATGACATATAAAATCATTAATTTTCAAATCAATTAATTTTATTATATATATATATATATATATATATATATATATATATTAGTATTTGCAAAATACGCAATAATAATGCAATAAAAGCTGAGTACGTAAATAATTGCAAAATATTTTGCAATTATTTATGCTAGCACTTTCATAACATTATCTAAAAAACACTAATATATATATATATATATATATATATATATATATATATATATATATATATATATGAAGGTCATAAATATAATTTTATATATTTATTTATATATATATATATATATATATATATCGTTCAAAATTATAAAAAAACACGGAACCATATAAGTGATTTTATCTAATTGGACTTCAGTATATATTTGTCTAAAATAAATTACAATAAATAATATTTAATTATAGCATTGGAATAAATTTAAGAATCCTGCTCTACAATAGTATTTTTTGTTTATATTATCGAGAAATGAAATAATTTAAATAATTTAATAAAAAGTTAAGAACTTATCTTTCTCTACCAAAAGTCTCAACTATACCTTGATAATAATATTTTATTTATGTTTCAGACATACAAGACTTAATATAAAATCTCCAAATGAATTTGCTGCAAATATTCAGGTAAGAATTTGTTCTAACTGTTAGTTAAAATTAGATACAATATTGTAAAAAAATATTATAATATATTTATAGAACTTCTGAAGTAAAAATTTAAAATGCGTGTATAAAATCCATAATAATTTAGTATGAACACTTTTTTATCAATCGAATTCTCCAATTTTTTACATACCACAAAATGTTTCAATATGGTGACATATTTTTTCAGTTTTATTTTTAAGTGTTGTTTAAAACTATATAAATATAAATTCTATTATTTTTTTTTTAATAAATGAAGTTTTACCAGTCTATGTGCTTTTTCCAAATGGAATCCTCTTGCTCGTAAGAATCTAGTTAGATATTTGTCGTCCATTCTATGTGGATTGCATTCTCCTCTTTCTAAGAAAAAAATTAAATGTATAAAAGTTTTGTTCTGGACACTTTAATTTATTTACATTATAAAAACTAGATAAAATTTACTAAAATATAGTACAACTAGTTATATATACTTGCATATTGAAATTTTGAACAAAATGACACTTTATTACACTAAAGTACTTTTTCAATTTAAACTAGCTGTAAGTGGAATTCTGTCTTAAGGCAATTAAGGCATCGTGCCTTAAGGCAAATTGCTGGAACTTCCCGTACCAAAAATTATTATTTTTTTAAAAACGATTAACATTTTTGAAAAAAATTTACTTTGAAAAAATAAGATTTTTGAGAAACTATAAATTGTACAAAAAATTACTTCTTTTTTGAAAAAAAAATTTTTTTTTTTTTTATTTTTTTTCGAAAAAAAAATTCTTTTCTTTATTTTGACATATTGTGGAAGATCTGAACTTTTTTTTCAAAGCAATCGTACTGCTTTAACTGCATAGGGACAAAATATAAAGCGCGTAAGCGCCGCGTCGCTGTCTAACGCATAAGCATTGGTACGGAACCCATAGGAATGTTAACAAAATGTATACTGATTGTTAAAATCTTTATAAAATATCTGATAATTTGATGTGCATATGTCTAATGATCATTTTTGTCCACCAAATGGCTCATTTTTTTACTTTTTCCTCCATATCTCCGAAACCGCTAGACCTACCATCATCAAAGTTGTATCGATTCTTCATCTTGTCAATACAAGTAAAATGTTTTTTGAATTATTCAAATCGAACGCTCCGTTCTCTTAAAAACTGAGTTACCGTTTTCGGCACTTTTTGCCCCGTATCTTCGGAACGGCTAGACCTGCCTTTGCCAAAAACTAATCAGCACGTCTCCTTATCAATACGAATTGAATGTTTTTTGAATTATTCAAATCGGTTGATCCGTGTTCTCGAAATCGTCGACGAAAATTTGTATCCGCACATACATACACACACGTACATACATACATACATACATACATACATACACACACACACACACACACACACATACATCCATTTTTTCTAAGGTATGCCAAAATATTCAGAAACCTCTGAAACGTAAAGATATATAAAAATTTTCATTTTTTATTTTATTGCGATTACTATAACTTACCCTACGGGAAGTTAATAAAATTACTATAGCAATATTATCTCACGTTCCAAAATTTATATTAAATTAAATAAACATATAAATAACATATATAAAATTTCTATTTATAGTTTATTTTTATAAAACATGCCATCTATAAACAAATATATAATAAAATCTATAAATAAACACATAAATATATTTTCAACTAAATCCAATGCATATATGTTTTCCTACCAAACACTTGAAATAGATTTTTATTTATATTTTTATTCAAATAAATACGAGAGCACTTGAAATATCATTATTTATATTTAAATAATTTATTCAACAAATTACTAGAATAAATTATTTACCAGTTTTTACAAGTTTTTACGCAAAAATTCAAAGTCTGATTGGAAAAAATTAAAATGTGTTATTAACAAGATGTGAGTCAGAAGAAAATATAAACAGTTCAATAAAAATTAAAAGAAATATATATATATATATATATATATATATATATATATATATATATATATATATATAATGTTTATTTGAAATGAATATTTAAACTAATTATACGTAACAATTTGATATTTTTTAGTACAATTTTTTTATGTTAAATTTAATTCATGAAAATCTTTAAGGATTCTAATAGAATATTATACAAATTTTACTTCATTCTTTGTAAAAAAAGCCCACTACTTAAAATATCTAAAAAACAAGTAAAGCTAAGAATATTTAAGCATTAATATTTGCAAGTAGAGGGCAAAAAATGTATAACCAACCATCATCTTGATTCTTACAACTTTGATATCAGAATATAAATTGCTTTGTTTGAAAATCCATAACAAGAGTATTTTCTCGTGTTTTTAGTTTTTTTAGTCGTGAGCACTGTTGTTCAGTTTACGAGACCTTAATATAATTTTTAAGTATACGTTATATAATAGTTTAATACGTCGTATTATTAATTTCAAGTTAAATTCAACAGTTTTTTTATATAACCCGTGTAAAAGCTTGCAACTGATTAAGATAAAAAGGACTAAATTTAATGCAAATTTTTGAAAAACAGCAAAAAACACATTTTTACACCAATGATTTAGCTGAGAATTTTACTGAACATAGTCAGATAGTTGTTTGTTCAATATGCTTAATTTGTTGTTATAAAATTGACCTGGTTTTTGCAATATAATTGCTCAAAGTCAAATTGGATCTTTGTGCCGCACCACGTTTTTTCGTTGTTAGTTTTTTTGGTCGTGAGCACTGTTGTTTAGTTTACGAGATCTCAATATAATTTTTGAGTATACGTTATTTAATAGTTTAATACGTTGTATTGTTAATTTTGAGTTAGATTCAACAGTTTTTTTTATATAACCCGTGTAAAAGCTTGCAACTAGTTAAGATAAAGAGGACTAAATTCAATTCAAATTTTCAAAAAACAGCAAAAAAAATATTCATACACCAACGATTTAGCTGGAATTTTTACTGAACATAGTCAGATAGTTGTTTGTTTGATATGCTTAATTTGTTGTAATAAAATTGACCTGGTTTTTGCAATTTAATTGCTCAAAGTCAAATTGGACCTTTGTGCCGCACCACGTTTTTTCGTTGTTAGGTTTTTTGGTCGTGAGCACTGTTGTTTAGTTTACGAGAGCTTAATATAATTTTTAAGTATACGTTATTTAATTGTTTTATAAGATGTAATGTTAATTTTAAGTTAAATTCAACAGTTTTTTTTTATAAAATAACCCTTGTAAAAGCTTGCACCTAGTTAAGGTGAAAAGTACTAAATTCAATTCAATTTTTTGAAAAACAGAAAAAAAACACTTTTACACCAATGATTTAGCTTGGAATTTTACTGAACATAGTCAGATAGTAGTTTGTTCGATATGCTTAATTTGTTGTCATAAAATTGGTCTGGTTTTCGCAATATAATAGCTCAAAGTCAAATTGCACCTTTGTGCCGCACCATACCCTGTTTGAGCAACTGTTGTGTTAAACGATTTCTACTGGTGCAATTTACGTCCAACAAAAACCATTTTTTGAGGATTTTTTATCCCTAATATTTCATCCCTCTTACCATATATAAGATCCCTGAAATCCTGCAAAACTTTGGCAATTGTATCAGGATCTTCACCAAGTTCTTTTTTGCTATACTCCTTTAACTCCTGAGGAGGATCTCCTAGATCCAATTCGCAGGACATTTCACAATCTAGGACAAAATCCTTGGATTTAGTTATTTGTTCGGTATCACTGCTATTTTTCTGAAAAAAAAGAAAAAAAATACATTATTGTAAAGGACTTCTGAGCAAAAATATGTAGGGCAGGTAGAATTAAAAGGGTTGTTCTTGATTTTCAATTTTGGTACGAAAATACTTGAAGTGTGAAAGTTGTTAATTTATTTAAAATATTTTTTCTTCTAGACAATTGGTAAAATAAATACTTTAAGATGCAGAATTATATTTGCTTTTAATTGGTGTAAAATTATTTCTATACATTCATATAAATTTATGGAGATTTGTTATGAATTCTGAAAAAGTGCGTCTGGTTCGTTTTTAATATTAAATATGTCTCTATAAAAATTAGACATTTGAAATTCGTCAATTGATGCTTTATTTTAAAGTATTCATTATTGTCTATAATTTTTGAAATAAATACTGTAAAATGATGAATTTTATTAGCTTTGAATTGATATAAAAATATTTTTTCAATTTTATACAAATTTTTGGTGATTTTTTATAAAGTCTCAAAAAGCGCGCTCGCGTAATTGTAGATTTGATAATTGAAAATCGTCAATTTTTCAAGGGAAGATAAAGTTAATAGGGTTTGAAGGGTTGGTAAATTTTTTTTGGAGCTCATTTGTGATTTTTGCAGAAATTGCGAAGGTTATATTGGAGATGTAAGACCTTTTGGCAAGTAGTTATGGATTTTATAAGGCATTTTTTCCACGTAGAATTGATTTTTAAATAAAACTTTTTATTTTTACATCTATGTCTAAAAATTTATCTTTGTCTTTGTATTGATTTTTACCTTCTGGCAAGTATTTACACGTAAGTATAAGTATTTGTCTGAATGTATTTGAAGTATTTTGACCTAATTCTGATTTAATTCAATGTTATTCATATCAATTCAATTTTTTGCATTGTAATCTTACAATTAGGGACAATTTCATAATATTGTTTCTTATTTTTTTTTGGCTGAGTCATTGGAGCGAATTGTATGTTGTAAAATACTTTCTTGAATTTATTTCAATGATTAATGAAAAAAATAAACAAAACAAAAATATTTTTTAGAAGAATTTCATGAAAAATTGAGGAAAATCATTAAAAAATATTTCTAAAGCCTAATGTTGCTTGCCTAATTTTGTTTTAAATACGTAATTTATTATGATATTTCAACTTTTATTTGTTACCTCATATAATATTCATAAATAATTGTAGAAAAATTATTACTATAAAAAATAAATGATTAAAACTGTATATATAAAAAAATTGTTAAAAAAAATAAGTTTCTGTATCATTTTTTGCTATTTTATATATTCTAAACAATTTTAAATATAATTTGACAAGACAATTCTAATATAATAATTCTAATATAATAATTCTAATATTTAATAAATAATAATAATTTCATAATATTTGAACAATTATGCTAATTCATTAGAACGAATTTATTAAAGACTATTACATAACACAAAGGAACGTAGTTTCACTTTCTTAAACAATGACTTGGACAAATCTTATTTTCAATAGAGACTTACATAGAATTGTGTCAAATACCTAATAGTAATTATATAAGAATTAGTAAGCTTGGGTACAAACTCGTACACTAAGGGGTAGTTCTTGATTATCAATATTGTACGAAAATATTTGATGTGTGAAAGTTGTTGATTTATTAAATTTTTTTTTTGACAATTAGTGAAATAAGTACAGTAAAATGCAGAATTTTATTGGCTTTCAAGTGGTGTAAAAATATTTTGACACTTTTATATAAATTTATTTAATTATGTTATAAATTCAGAAGTGCGCACGAGTAGTAAATAATTTTTTATATTTGTAAGAAGATTTGATGTGTGAAAGTTGTTGATTTGTTTAAAATATTTTTTCTTCTAGTCAATTGGTAAAATAAATACTGTAAGATGCAGAATTTTATTGGATTTCATTTGATGTAAAAATTATTTAATACTTTTATTGAGATTTTTTATAAATTTTGAAAAAGTGCGTCCGGATCGTTTTTAATATTCAATATGTCTCTATAAATATTAGACATTTGAAATTCGTCAATTGATATTTTATTTTAAAGTATTTATTGTTGTCTGTAGCTGCTGAAATAAATATTGTAGAAGGCAGAATCTTATGAGCTTTCAATTAATATAAAAATAATTGTACACTTTTATATACATTTATTGAGATTTTTCATACAATCTAAAAAGTGTGCTTGGATAATTGTAGATTTGATATTTGAAAGTCGTCAATTGTTATTTTATTTTAAAATATTTATAAATGTCTGTTATTATTGAAATAAATACTGTAAAATACTGAATGTTATTGGCTCTCTATCTTCTATATAAAATTTTAAAAATTTTGACTAAAAACTAAAAAAAAAGAACGCAACTCTCTCTACTCTACATAAATAAAATATGTTTTGAAATGTGTTTATATTTGACGCTATTTTGAGGAGCAAATAAAATTTTCTAAATATTTTGTAATACTGGAAAATAAGCACACTTTCATCCCCTTTTAAATCTAATCAAATTATTTTTATCCTCCAATACAAAATTTCGAAGTTTTTATCCCAAAACTAAAAAACAGAATACAACTCACTCAAACATCTCAATACACTTGTCTAAATTTGACGCCATTTTGAGGAACATATAAAATTTTCTAAATATTTTGTGGTACTATAAAAAAGCACAATTCTATCACCTTTTAAACCCAATCAAAATATTTTTATCCTCCAATATAAAATTTCAAAGTTTTTACCCCAAAACTGAAAAAAAAATAAACGCAACTGACTCAACATCTTTCGTGTTGTCAAGGGCGTGCACGTGCAATTGCATGTCATTTCAAACTGCATTTATTTATTATTATGCACATAAGAATATATTGTTTAAACAATTTCAAGGCAAACCAAAGATTATTATGTCAAGATTTTCAATTCAGAACGCAAACTAGATTGATCACATTGACAAGGAACAAGATTTTACTGAAAATCTTGAATTTCTTGACATTATAATAAGGAAAATAATTATCCGGAACTTATTTATTCTATAATAAATTATGTATGTAAATTATAGCCTTTTATCTTACATAAAAACCGAGGAAAATCTCGTTTTCATAATTTATTATAATCATTTGTTTACACAAAGAGATTCTGTTTTAAATATTTTTACTCAACTTGTTATGTTAATCGTTACTTTGCAATTTGTTTTCTGAATTAAAATTGTCGAATCATCTAAAACGATTTTCGATTGTAAAAAAGAGAAATTAATCGAATATGTAATCGATGTAATTCAATTACGAATTATATAATTTGTACTATTTTTAGCGCTAAATGTCAAAAAAATCAACTAAACTGTTATATAATGAGATTCATTGTATTTTTGCAACATAGTGTTAAAGAAATGTTATTTTGGTAAAATTTTGATGAATTTATACTTGATTTTTAATTTTATTTATAAGGTTGTCAAATATCTCCCTTCCGCCTTTTTGTATTATAAACCAAGAGCAAAAAAGCGGAAAGGAGATATTTGACAACCCAATATTTTAGAGACTATTTGCAATATTTGCTATAAAAATTTATTGTTTTTTGTTAATAGATTTGGTAAAATTTAATAAAAACTGAATCTAAACATTGGACGTGCTTTTTTTTAGTTCCTGGCAAAAACTGCAAAACTTTGTATTGCACTAAATATTTTTATTGTGTCTGAAAGCTTATTAAATTCTACATATTTTGTATTATTGTAAATTTTTTAAAAACCATTTATAAATTTGTAATATTTACGACCAAACATCGTAATATTGAACATAAAACATCGTAAGATTTTATATATAAAACACTATTTAGATGAGGGCAAAGAAAATTTGGAGAGGATTTTTTTAGTTTCTTGTAAATTTAGTAAAAGTTTTGTATGAAACGTATAATTTGTTTTAATTTATGTTAAAAGTAGTTAAAATTTTGTATTTTACAGCATTATTAGTATTTTTAGATTTGGTCAAAAATATTTTCAAAAATGTTGAAAGTAGATTTGCATCTTGATGTGGTTTTTATCATAAAATCCATAAAATTTTGTTTCATCATATAAAAAGTTTTTATTTTAATCAAAAGCTAATAAAATTGTAGTATTTTTGCTTGTTTGGCATAAATATCACATAAATTTTATATGAGGTGTAGAAACAAACTGAATTTTTATCAAAAGTATATACAATTTCCTATGTTCTGGCATTTTTAGTTTCTAAATTTTTCTCACAAAATTTTTCACAAAAAATCATTACTTCCGCAACTTCCTGACAAGCAACAAAGTTGTGTTTTCCGCATATTTAGGCGCTTTTTTGCTTTAATATCCGCAAAAAGTCATAAAATATATACTTATAAAACTTATAAAATAATAATAATAAATATAAATACTTAGTTTCTTTGATATTTCCTATAATAAACGTCGTGAAATTGATTTCCGCATTTCCACCTACCGAACATTCACTTTTTGAATCGACACTTTCTTATTTATTATTCTCGTTAAATGTTTCCTGATTCATCAAATACATCAAATTGTTGTTATTTAATATTTATGAATAATAATAAAAAATAATTAGCTGTGAACAATACTTTGTTTATAATTAACTATTAAAATTATTTATAGAAGTAAAATTTATATTTATATACTAAATTTATTTTGCGGTTCAGACACACAAAATTTGTTTGAGTTATAATTTTTAGGTTTGATTAGTTTTTTATAACATTTTTGTTAACAAACTTATATTGCAAAGTACTACAAATAATGCATAATTTCATTAATTTCAGATTTATATAAATTTTTCAGAATATTTAATTTCAAATGAAAAAATGTCCATGAGACCTTTTGCAAAATTTCTCTACTTTTTGTGGAGTATTAATTTTAATATTTTTTTGCAAAAACTTAGACAAATACAGAATATTACAAAAAAGCTTTTTAACAAGCCCAAAATATAACAGCATTTTTATACAGAATTAATAAAATATTTTGCAAAAACTGAAAAAACCTTCGGGTTACGTCTGTGAAAATTGGTTGTTCCCAAAACTTGTAATAATAAATAATTTTTGTTAATGAATAAGTATTGCAAAATACTGAAAATGATGCATAATTTTATTATAATAATACTATATTGATATATATTTTTTTTTGAATATTTCATTTCAATTGAAAAAATGTCCATGAGAGCTTTTGTAAAGTTTCTCTATTATTTTGGTGTATACATTTTAATTTGTATTTTAACAAATTTGTGCAAAAACTTTTGAAATTGTAAAATAGTACAAAATAAGCAGAATTTTATTAGATTTCTAACAAAACCAAAATATGGCAGCATTTTCATACAAATTTAATCTCTATCGATATGAATTTTTAAAAATATTTTATCCCTACTAAAAAAATGTCCATGTGAGCTTTTGCAAACTTTCTCTATTATTTTGGTGTATGCATTTTAATTTATTTTTTTTGCAAAAACTTTTAAAATTACAAAATAGTACAAAATATGCAGAACTTTATTAGTTTTTCAACATAATTAAAAAATTATAGTCTTTATATACAAATTTAATCAAATATTTTGCAAAAACTATAAAAATGACCGGTTACGCATGTGCTAATTGTTTGTTAGCAAAAATTGTTACAATATGATAAATTCTTAGATTTTTTTGTTAACATATTTTCAACCTTCCATATAAAATTATAAAGATATTTACAAAATTGTACAAAAATGTACAAAATAGTCTCCAAATATATATATATGAAAAAAATGTAATACGTACATCCATTTTTTGGTTTCAGCTTCGTTTTTTCTTCTAATTAATTAAAAATTATAATATTTTATTTCACACTTTTACACTTTAAATATATAACAAAAATAATATTATAAAATCCTTTGAAAGTTCTAACTCATTTTACCACTAAAAATATAAATAAATAGAGCACAGAATTTTTAAATTATATAAAATTTAATTTATATATGATTTAATATAATTTATTTATGATTTTAATATAAATTTTGGTATAACACAATAAATAATTTTATATGAAGTAATAATTTTAAAATTGGTTTAATATATGATTGAACGTTAAATTTAAAAAAAAAATCACTTTAATTTAATAATTATAATAATAATTTTCAAATGTAATTGAAATTATTTGCTTTAACATATTTACAAAAAAAATATCTCAAAAATATAAATAATTTGGTTCTAGATTAATAAATTAATACAAAATAATAAAAAATTGGATAAAAAATTTAATTTTCTACAAAAATAATTCATTATAATTTTTACTTTAATTTTCATATATTTCGTTTTTAAACAAATATTCACAAAAGAATATCACAATTATTATCATCGACACCTAATTTTATTTTAATTTTTCCTATCCCCAATTTTCACTAAAACCTCTCAATTATATTTTTTAAATTTACCATAAACTTCAAATAATTTATTAAAATTATAAATTTCATTAATTTTCAACAACACAATTTATTATAAACAATTGTTTTGAACTAAATTTTATTTCCTTATCGGACGGAGTCTGTATGTCAACTGAGATTAGATAAGTTGCATACTGCGCGTTTAAATGCAATAATACAGAGACGAATTGGGTAAAAAATAATTAAATTTGAGTAATGGATTGTTACAGAGGTGTATTTGGAGTATATAGAGATTATAATAAGGTATTTAAATAGAGAAATTAGTTTCAAAGCAGTTTGCGCACTCCATAGTGGCGCCACTAACTGTAGCACGTAAATTTACCTTTAGGTTCAATTCTAGATAAGATTTATATAAATAAATAAATGATATAGGAAAGATAATTTTGTATAATTTAAATTTATAAAATTAGAACAAAATATACACGTATAAAATTATTTTTGACTAAATCTCAAATATATTTTTATAAAAAATATTTAATAAAAATAAATAAATCATATATTTAATTTTGAAATTACTAAAACGAAGGGTAAAGCACATTTTTTCTGTGTTCACTTATAAAAGCAAATTTACAGGACCGAATTTAGAAACTGTGTTAATTGTATAATATTGAAAATATATTTTATTATTACAGAGTTGTACATTTATATTACATATAAAAAATCAAAGAATTTTCTAGGGCCAAAAAGGTTTCACTGTTAATGACAAGAAATCTTGCACGTGCATCACATATTTTAGTGTATAGTGTCATTTCAATAACTATTATTATTAAATAGATTTTTAAAATTCATTTATTAAAATTTTTTATTATTTTTTATTATTTTTATCCAGCTGTTTATTTATTTGTTAGATATTGTATAGGATTGCATGATGCAACTGACTTCTATATGCACTTTCTATGCACTGAAATATATTACTGGTTCGTTTGCAAATCAACAGGACCGAATTATGTAATATATTGTTTTACATAATTCGGTCCTGTTTTTTTATTATATAATAAAAAATATATTATCTACATTTTGTGACCAAATGCGTGCCATCAAACAAGAGTTTCAAATTGACTAAAAGACAAATAAATAACAACCAAATGTATTGATAAATAAATTACTTTGAAATATTATTTTTTAGGAAAGACAAATGATGGCACACATTCTGTGTCGAAACGTATATCATAAATTTTTTACGTTTCTAATAATTAGCTTAAAACACTTGGATTTTTTATTTATATTTATTATAATTTAATCAAATTCAAAAGTTTGAAAATAAAAAGTATAATAAAAGCAAAGCAAAAAAATGATGACACATATTCAGTGTCGAAACGTAGTCACACAAATCTCTAATATTTATTTAAATGTTAGAGATGTCTAATATTTATTTAAATGTTAATACAAAGACAATATAAAACCAAAATCTCTCATTTTATTTAGTATTTTATTTTATATCTGAATTAAAATTATAATTATTTAAATAAATGAATATAAAAGTGCATTTTAAGTGTAGTGCAAGAAAACGATGGCACACATTTAGTGTCAAAACGTAGTAAAACAAGTCTCAAATATTTATTTAATAATTTGTATAATATAGTGTGATGAATTTTAAGAAGTAAATCTTAAATAAAATATTTTTTTAGAGTAATTGGTTTAGTACAGAAAAAAGATGACACACATTTAGAGTCGAAACGTACACTGTGCTTTTTAGATAAAATTTATATTTGTGATTTTTTGTGTGAAATTATAAAATGTTAATTAATCTCGTAAATAGAAATTAATGTATACATATGGACAATTTTATAATATAAAATGTACAATAAAATGATGACACACATTTAGTGTCGAAACGTACATATGCAGGTATATTTTGCGTCATAATTTTATATTTAATTTTTTTAGTTTTTACTTGAAATTATAAATTGCTATTTTTAAACTCGTAGTTATAAAATTAATTGGAATAGATAGACAATTTTATAATAAAAAATATACAATGAAATTATGACACAGATTGAGTGTCAAAACGTACATATATATGTATATTATGCACTCTGAATTTTATATTTACATTTTTGATTTTTTTATAAAACTATAATTTGATAAAATTAAATTTCTACTAATGAAATTAATTGAATATTGAAAATAATAGATAATTTTATAGTAAAAATGCACAATAAAATGATGACACGCATCGAGTGTCAAAAATAATATATATATATATATATATATATATATCCAAATTTTTTTTTGTACTAATTGAATTTCAACCTTTAACCTTCAAGAATATTTTATACTACAACTTACCTTTGCAAAAAAATCAAAATATCCTTTCACCAAACACTTTTGAACAAACTTTAAATAATTTGAAAAATTTTAAAAGTTTTTATTAATATTTATTTTTATCCAAGGGTCACTTTAAAAATGAAAGGGTCACCAAATATTGTTCTTCACGTGTTACCAAAACTGTTGTCGAATTATGACTGAAGAAGTTTTTGTTCTTCGACATCTCTTGGTCATGTATTAGTTTTTTTTTGACGAAGTGGAAGGAATATGTTATGGAATTGTTGTTTGTTGATTCTTAAAATATCAGTTTTTTATTATATATATATATTATGTAATAAAACACTCAACATACCTATACAATACTAATATTTTTTGCACTAACTTTATTAAGTAATGTTATGAGTTCTAGATGCCATCATCAAGTGCAAATTAATAACTATATTAATAATGTAAACACATTTTATAAATAAATGATAAGAATTTTTATAACAATAATTTTTCTTACTGATGATGAGACAAATCGAGCTTTTAAAACGTCTGTAACCTATAACTTTATTTAACAAAGTTTGTGTCAAAAATTGAAAAATATGTTAGAGAGAAATATTTATATATTTTTAAATAAATCTAGATTTGTTCACTTTTTATCAAATAATTATATTCATAAAATTGTTGAATTAAATATAGTGAATAAAATTATTTGAATAAAATTCTTTTTCCAAACAACAAATCGAGCTTAACAAAGTTTGTTCCAAAAATTGAAAAATATGTTAGAGAGAAATATTTATATATTTTTTAATAAATCTAGATTTGTTCACTTTTTATCAAATAATCATATTCATGAAATTGTTGAATTAAATATTGCGAATAAAATTAATTAAATAGGATTCTTATATGAATCATTTTTGAGTGGAATTGATACAACTAATGAGGGAAATTAGTTTATTAGATAAAAACAAAAATTAAAATTCACTAAATAATATTTTCTGTTTAAAATCATTCTAAATTGTATAAATTATTTTAAAATTGTTATTAATCTTGATTTTTTAATTCAGTAAAAGCATTGCATTTGTATTAGTTTTTTTTAAATTTAATTAAATATATATAACATAATATAATTAAATTAAATTAAATAAATAAAACATATATTTATTATCATTTGATATATTGTTTTTCAAATATCTATACAAATAGAATTAGAACTAGTGGTGTATGAACTTAAGTAACTTTCTAGAATTTAATTTTATAGTTGCATAGAGCTTTTTAAAAACTCGTAAAATTGGATAAAAACTGTTTTTTACCACTTGACTGTTTTATTTGTTATTTTAGAGTTATTTCCAAATTCAAATAGAACTGTTTGAGTAAAAAAAAAACAACATTCGACATTATAATTGTGGCACAGTTTCCAAATAGAGATCTTTTACGGCGTGGAATTGTTTTCATTGCTAAATTTAAATTATTATGTATCATTTGGAATATATAAAAGTTTCCGTTGCACATTTATAATGATGTTAGTGTAACAAAATTTAAAAAAAAATCTTACTATGCTGTGAAAAATCTTACGCAAAAATATTTTGAATTCCTATATTATTTTTTGTAGCTTATTGAGTATGGCGTCGTTTTTCTGTGTATTGTTATATATATATATATATATATATATATAATATATGTTATATATATATATATATATATATATATATATATATATTGGTCAAAAATTATATGATTAATGATCTTTCTAAAAAAAAAGTTGGAACTTCCAACAATTTTGATGCATATGTAATGGAATATTATTCACATGAAAAAACTGAAAACGAGAATTCGAAAGCGTTTATGACATCTGTGCAATAAAACCGAAATTACAGAGATGAATAAAATTTGAATTTAAAGAAATAATAAGCTGTAAAATTAGAAATTTTGAATTAAATTATATTTATAAACAATATTAAAAAATTGTGATCAATTGGTCTATATTGCCTATGGATATTAACAATATCGCTTGAATGTTTATAGAATTGAAACAAATCACGTTTTATAATCAAATATTAACAAGAAATATTGAACAAGTTGAATAAAATTAAATGTGTATTTAGTTTGTCCTTAATTCGAATACAAT